ATTTTTATTAATTTACGAAAATTTATTTATTTAAAATTTTTATTTTTACTGAATTATTTAATGAAGGTCAAAGACCTGCAATTAGTGTTGGAATATCCGTAAGTCGTGTAGGTTCGGCTGCTCAAATTAAAGCTATGAAACAAATTGCTGGTACCATGAAAACCTGTTCCGACCTGAACTGGATTCACTAGAACAGGCCATTTCCATTGCGGAACAGGAAGACTTCAGTCGAAGACAGGCTCGCGCCAGCTCGACATCATGTCGTACACGAGAGACGATATGACAGCGGAGGTCCAGAGCCGATGGAGCACTGTTACGTAGAGAGCGACAAGGCTCGCTCTACAGACTACAAGAAGTTGCAAAAATGCAACAGATGTCAGAAGACAGGACACTACGCTTACGAGTGTAGTGCCCCTCGTCCAGTGTCTCGCAACACTGGGCGTAATGACCGTCCACCCATGAGAAAGAGGCAGGGACGCGGTTCCTCTGTTGGTGCAAAGACGCAACAACGGGATGGACCGTCAAAAAATGTACAGGATCAGTAGGTGCGGAGCACCCTACTGGTCCAGCAACGTCAAGAGAATTTGTAGGCCTCTTGATGAAGGTTTCTCCCAACACACAGACATTGTGCGTTGCTGCTCTAGGTAATGAGATCTCACTCATTACCTTGAAACTCGAAGTGACGAATAAATTGTCCCTTCGAGCTCTAGTCGATTGTGGGGCGTCCAACAATTTTGTGTGACGCCAATCGCTAGAAGATGGTCACTTTAAGTTTAGTGAATGTGACACACCTCCTACGAGGATGACGGTACGTCTTGCGACAGGCGCATCCGTAAACGTCATAAAGCGTATAGTGAAGATCCACTATACGCTAGAAGATACCCAATATGACGATGACTTTACCGTATTGGATTTGGATGACAAATTTGATGTCATCCTTGGAATACCATGGCTCAGAAGGTACGAACCACGGGTTAACTGGCAACATCGAACATTAACGATGCCTGCCGCTTGTTCATCAGATGGCCATCTGGTGAACGTCTTGGCGCCTTTAAAAGCGTGTGGATGTACTTCAAGTGAGTGTGATGGCCTCACTTGTGGTACGGTCGTTAGTACGACTGCACAAAACCTTAGTGCACCAAACGGTTACACTTCGGAGCAAAGCTCCGGCAGCTGTGAGGAAACACAGGCTGCGCCGAAGGTCCACCACTCGAATAAGTCGGGTGGACTGGGACAAAGATGTATCCCCAGCGGGGAACATCTAGAAGAGAAACAATCGATCGCTCAGGTTAAGCGAAACGATAATCCTAGATCGACTGGAGAGTCTTTCGTAGAGGATCTCGCTGAGGTTGCGCAACCCCAGCTAGAGGAAGTAAAGGGAATAAGTCCCAAAATTACAAATACGGCGGAAATGAGTTCCCCGAAACCCGCGGGAATAAGTCCCCAAGGGAAGCCGAAGGAATAAGTCCTTCGAAGCCTGAGGGAATAAGTCCCCAGGAAATGACAGAGACATTGAATGTCATAGTCAATAACGGATCAAGTGTAGGCGCTTATACACTTGATCTGATTGCGCCTCCGAAGTTAACTTCGGAGATCACTCAGATGCCAACGCTCGAACATAAAAGGTTCTTGCGTGATCTGCGTAGTGGCAAAGTCAAGCAGATCTGCGTACTCGTCGCTGACGACGAGTATGTAGCCGACATAAGGTCAGCAACAGTGTTTACTGAGAACGAGAGAGTTCTCAGTAGTTCATCTATGGACGAGAGTGTCCTAGATGAAAAGACACGAATTGAGCGATATGACTCCCAATCGTGGGAATCGCTCAAGACAAATCCTCTCTATGAAGATTTGGTTGAATTCAAGGATGTATTCCCTGAAACTGTTCCGTGCGAATTACCGAAGGATAAAGGTATTCGACACGAGGTCGAGCTTAAACCAGGCTCGAAGTACTGTGTTATGAAGCAGTGGTCACTGCCTCGTGAACAAGTGCTTGCGGTCGACAAGTTCTTTGGCGATCGTTTAGCTGCGGGCCGTGTGAGGGAATCAACTTCCCCACATAGCTCTCCGACGTTCTGTGTGCGAAAGGCCACAGGAGGGTGGCGGATTGTGCATGCATTTAACAAGTTGAACGCTACAACGGTACCGGCTCAGACGCCGATGCCGAGGAAGGACGTAATCATTGATGGTATGTCAAAGAGTACCATCTTTTCGTCCATGGATTTGATGGATGGCTTCTATCAAATCCTTATGCGAGAACGGGATATACCCTATACCGCAGTTAGCACGCCTAGCGGCATGCTCTGGGAATGGCTAGTAATGCCACAAGGGCTTCGTAATGCCCCTGCCACGTTCAACAGATGTGTATCACATCTGTTGAGACCAGTACGAGAATTCGCGCCGAGTTATTTCAATGACGTATTCATCCATAGTCGAGCTATGGATGGAAAGTCGGACGTTGAGGTTCACAGGTACCACGTCCAACAGGTTCTTACAATCATGCGAAAGCATCAATTGTATGCAAACCTCAAGAAGTGTATATTTGCAGCAAGCGAAATACCACTTCTTGGGTGCATCGTTGGTAAGAACGGTGTACGTCCTGATCCCGAAAAGATCAAGGCGATCACCGACTGGCCTGTGCCGGTCGATGTCAAAGGTCTTCGAAAATTCCTTGGGCTAGCGGCGTATTTGCATAAGTATTCACGCAATTACGCCAAGATGACTGCACACCTCTATTGTCTGTTGAAAAAGAACGAGAGGGGGTTATGGAATGCTGAATGTCAGCGCTCCTTTGATGGTATCAAGCAAAGCTTGATACAATCCCCAGTCCTAGCAATAGCCGATCAGGAAAGGCCATTTCATGTGGTCTGTGATGCCAGCGATTTCGCAATCGGCTGTGCATTAATGCAGTACGATCTTGAAGGCGTTGAACGTGTCGTCTGCTATCAGTCGCGTCAGCTGCAACCAGCTGAGCGGAACTATCCAGTGCATGACAAGGAACTCCTTGCCATGAAGTATGCAGTCGCGAAGTTCAGAGTCTATCTATTAGGAGATAAATCCTTCATTGTTTAACACTGACCATGCGTCATTACGCACGGCAGTGAACAGCCCGCACCTTTCACAACGAATGGCGCGGTGGTTGTCATTCTTTGCAGAATACAACTTTACGGTATAGTACAAACCAGGACGACTTAATGTCGTCGCTGATGCACTCTCACGTCGGCCCGACTTTGAACCAGTCGTGAAACCTAACAGTGAGACAGCCACTGTTGCGGTTATGACGTCGTAAGTACTATCTTCAACATTACATGATGATGTGAGGCGCGCATATGCCCAAGATGGTGAGATTGTAAAGCTGCTGACACATCTCTCACAGCCATCTCGAGAATCGTTGAAACGATTATCGTCTGCGTATCGATCTGCATCAGATCGATACACTACTCGCAACGGTTTACTGTATCATACAGCCGTTACTGGTGACACACCACGTGTTGTCATTCCAGATGATACTGATCTGCATTTGCGGATCATGTTCGAGTATCACGATGCTCCTATAGGAGGACATCGTGGCCGGGAGAAAACGTATCTCACGGTGAGTCAAGACTTTTACTGGCCCCGCCAGTATCAGTTTGTGCGAAAGTACGTTCGCGCATGCGAAGTCTGTCAACGAGTGAAGTCAAGTCCTTCACTGCGTGCACCTTTACAGCCTCTACCGGTTCCGGCTGAGTGCTGGGAATCCATCTCAATGGATTTCGTCTTCGGGTTACCCAAAGACGCACGCGGGAATACGGGTATTCTCGTATTTGTTGACAGATTCAGCAAAATGGTACACCTTGTGGCTGTACCAGAGACAATCACGGCAAGTGGCTGTGCTTGTGTCTTTATCGACACCATCTTCCGACTTCATGGGTTGCTCCCTGAACTCGTATCAGACAGAGATCCACGATTCACTGCTGATTTCTGGCGTTCCGTGTTCAAATCACTCGGAACGCGCTTGAAGATGTCGACATCTGATCATCCAGAGTCAGATGGTCAGACGGAACGTGCCAATCGTGTCCTTGAAGAGATCCTTCGAGGATACGTACACTCCTTTAAGAGTTGGAGTGAGTTTTTGCCAATGGTAGAGTTTGCCATTAACAACTCGGTGCATGCGCCCACGACACATACACCGTTTTACGTGAATGGCTTACGCCATCCGCGTGTACCCACCTTACTCGAGTGTAACTCTGGTTTAAGGGGGGAGAGACTCGCGCGAGCAAAAACCGATTTGGTTCACGCTCATCACGCTCTGACGAAGAAGTCATTGCGTTTGATGCCGATATCGACAACGTCGATATCGAAGAAGATGATGCCAGTGAGAGCGAGAAAGACCTCACTGAAGAAACGATTGATGTCTCTGCAGTGCACTCACAGCGTACTGAAGCTAACGAGTCAGCATATGAGTTCATACTGGCTCGTGAAACGGTAGTCCGTTTTGTGCAAGACTCCATCGCCAAAGCGGTGGATAAGCAAAAGCAAAACGCAGACAAGAATGGAAGGGCAAACACTCTTTTATTTAATAAAGGTGACTTAGTCCTACTGTCTACGGTTAATCTACCAAAGCATGTAGTGACTAACTTGGGTAGTAGTAAGCTTCTACCCAAGTACATTGGCCCATTTCGTGTATTGCACCGCCTAGGCAATGCATACACGATCGAGTTACCACGTAAGATGCGAACGCATCCCACGTCTTACGTTGGTCGGCTTAAGCCGTACCATCAGTACGCTGCTTCTTCCGATGAAGAACGCCCTTGCGCTCAAGCATTTCACAGAGGGCCTTGTGCTCCCGATGGTGGATATCGACAAGGTTCTGAAGAGCAGTTATCTCAGCCCGAGACCCATATATCTACACGAGCTACCCTTAGCGCGTCACGAAGAGATGTCAGAGCTCTCTCGTTCTTAAGCTGAGCAAAGGCAAACTCAGCTCGATGCCTCAAGACAGTGCCAACCAGTTGCAGACGCCTTTACCGCTCATGCTCGAGGTCGCCGCGTAACGCAAGAATTACGGCAATCAAAGAGGCCCTCGGGGTTACATGCTTCCCCACGATAGTTTGTAGAGCGTTTTCCTCCTCCCTCCACCTCCATTGGAGGCTCTCGCGGTGGCCAGCGCTATCTGGTTGAGCGGCTGTTGAATCACCGCGATGGGAACGGACGTCGGACGAGTCATCTCGTCCAGTGGCGCGGCTATCCCCCGTCCTGGGATACTTGGGAGCCCCGCTCCCAACTGATAGTTGACGTACTGGGTTTGGTTGAGCAAAATGACGCGGCACATCCTGCGCCGCAGAAGGACCGCCGGAGAAAGTCTTCCCGGCACGGTCGTAAAGGGATTTCAGGTCGTCAATCCCTTCGTACATCTCGCTAGAGAAACGTACGCGCCACCACGGGCTAGTAAGGAGGCAAGCCTCCTTAGGTGCTCGTGCAGAGTTGTTCACACAACATAGGCACGAGTCTCCCCAGGAAGGACAGGGTAACCCACCCTTCTTAGACAGACGATGCAGATTATAGCGTGTACCTGTCGGGGTTCTCTTCTCAAACTTATCACGAGCTTTGATAACTTTGTCGTTCCAAGCGTCACGACCTACATCCTCGAGGTTATGGATGTAGGCGTTCCACGCTTGAAGTAGTGAGGGGGCCATCACGTTTGTGATTCCCACTGTACCATCGATGCTTAAAGAAAGCATCGATGAAGAGCTCATTCTCAGCGCGATAGTTTTTCGCACTGGGTTCAAGGTGATGGGTCCTTGACGAATCGAACAATCGTGTTCGATAGCGATCACTCGTCGTCGCCGATAAGTGATCCATGACGGATTTTGGAGGCATCCATGCCTTCTTCTCGGGAGCGAGACGCAACACACTGCGGTCCCGCTCTTCTTGCGACGTGCCGACAGAAGTACTGGCACCTCGTTGCGAAGTGGTGTCCATAGGAGAACCGACACCACTGTTAGCGCCCGAGTCTTGGGACCTCGAGCGCCTTCGCTTCGGCGATGGTTCATCTGATGAATCAGATGAACCAAAGATGCTACGACGCGTAGCATCATCCATGCCACGCTTGGCAGGCGGTTTGGATTCGATCGCCGTCGATACGGATCCGTATTCCGTATCAGGAGAGTACGAGACACCGAGCTCATACTCTGTGAAGACCTGAGTGTCTTCATGACCAGCGCCTGCATCACCAAGTGACACAGGCTGAGTCGCTTCAGCAACCGATGAGACATCAGTTGCTGTGGTTTCTGCTTCGGCGTCCGCACAAAGACGTGCGGATGCGCTCTCGGCGGCCTTGCTCGCGCAACGCATGGGCTTGTTAACCATGCGATGAGATGTTGGAAAGTGGACTCGGACCAACAAGTGCAAACCCCGTCCTAAATGATTTGGGACGCGTATCCATTTAGTCAATCAGTCACTAAAGTGACTGATGATTAACGGGGGGGTGATGTAACGGGGTGTACCGTTACATGACAATTTATAGGAAATTGTTGATAGAATATTACTATCAGAGTTATATTCTCAGAATATTATCATAAAGACAAGTATTCTGTAGCACTTACGAGTAGTTCCTTCTTGGTTGATATAGGCCATTATATTAACCAACGAAGACGCGCCACGACAGACGCACGCAATGAGTGGTGAGCAGATAGTTGATATGCACATTTGTATTCAGACGTAGTTAGATGAGGATAAACAGTGGTTTATTAACAGACATTAACTATTATAAATACAGTTCTACTTTTTACTTTAACCAAGTACGCGCTTCTTCCTACCGTCTTCCTCTGCACGTACCAGTTTACGTGAAGTTACGAGGCACCGCCTCATTCTGTCATCAGAATCAGTAGCTTGTACTGTCACCAATACAAGCTTCAGGGTTCCCCAATACAGCTCTGCTACCTTTCCATGAGGAACGCGGCCAAAGAGCCTGTAATTCTAACGTCAAGGATTTAGCTGACTAGCAATATCCTAAAAATACAAAAGATTTAAACAGCTGCATCACGTCAGAACGTAAGCAAAAATCTAGAATTGCAAAAAATTGCTGGCGTCATAATCAAGACAGTTCTGTGCACGCTTTCGGCTTTCTCATGATGCTCTCGATTGCGCGCTCCCGTAATTGTCGACTTCAAGAACATTCCAACATTCTGGAACTCGCCACAGCCATTAATTCGAAGAACAGCAATTCTGTGCTCTAATGGATATTTAAAGGACACTAAAAAAGAGTTCCAATTTCTTATCCACAGCGATCTTTGTGCGTGTTAGGAACACTTTATGGCAGTTGGTCACGTAATCAACTTTATCAATCTAGAATCAATTTCAAGTCGATCTCTAGGATTCAGAGAATTGGTGAGCTAAAAAAAAGCAGACAGAATCTTCAATTCGGTCTCTTGTAGCGTTCTGTCTAGATTTTTTGGTTCTTCTTGTTCTTGTACGCTTGCTATGGGAAAAGGTAATGCACTTCATTTGCTAGCAATTCGTCAGCTCGATATCTACGCTTGAGCTCCGACGACCTTCTAAACCTTGTCGTACATAAATACCCTGAAAGTTGATGGAAGAGTAGTAGAATGTCTCGATGCGTCTCTGGAGACTGTGTATTTGTTACATCCTCTTAGAAGGCAGTCAAGATGACGTTGACCGTCTCTTCTTTGTGCAAAGGCATTCTACCGCTTCAACGGTCAGCATACTGTTTCAATGGTCAAGTCTAACGTAACACAATTGTCACTGCATTATGCTACTGTTCGCTTGTCGTTTAAATATTTGAAGCTGTAAATGTTAAGTTCGAGCTTACCGTAGACAATCATGTTGCATCCAAATCGGTGAATGGTAGACGTCTGTGATCTTGATTGCTTGTACATGTCCTTTGCAGATCGTGAAGAATCGGAGACTGCCAACCTTTGGTTGAATCGACCTTCCAGTCGTCGGTTCGCGACACTTTATCGTCGCACTCTTCTGCATAGGTCATTAGACAATCATTGTTTACCATGTGTCGACTGAATTGCTGTCGAATACTCAGTCGTCTATGCTGCTGTCGATCATGTTGCTTACAGCGAGAATCACCTCGCCGTTTTTCTTGCACTCTTGCTGTTCGCCCTTTTCGACCTGCATTTGATCTTCCCACGCCTTTTTTACCACAGAGATAGCACAAGCGTGTTTTCTTGCGCTGTTTAAAAAAAGGCTGCGTCTATCTCGCGTCTTGACGTCTTACCAGTCCTGTTCTCGAGATCTCATTGTGCAAAGATCACAAGCTCTTCTGCTTGGCGCAGATGGTCTTGTCGCGCATGTTCTACTTTGTCATCAGATTGGTTGTCAGATCGACTGACGCGAAGTGAACATTTCTCAAAGAACTCGCACTCCTGCTCCTCCTAATCAGCATCGCATGGAGCTACCACACATCGGTAGCTTTCAAACCAATCAATCTTAGAATTGTTCTTCCCAGCAAAGGCTAAATTTTGCGATGATGTGATGATAAACTTCATCGGCTATAGCAGCCGGACCATGGCGTTTTCGTTTTAGGCTTCTTCACGCACCGTATAAGGCTGGAATTTACCTAACATCCACGTGTTACTGATAGGTCATTCTGCTTTCCCGCAATTGTCCTATAAATTTTACACTGACGGTTCTTGCCCATATAAATCTACTGTACCACTTCTCTGTTAAAACTTGACGTAACAACGTGCTACCCCAGTCAACAAACCCTGAACCATGACCCTGCGACAATTATGTCCCAGGAATATTCTAATTGATCCTTAACATTCATTTACTTCCAGGACACGCAACAGCAGTTCTGGCGTCGGCTTTCGCTGTGTTTGTGGCCCAAGCACATGCAGCTTTACACTCTGTAGGATTCCTTAATGCATAGAGCGGTGTCTGTGGTTGAGCGGCACGCGTCAGATGGAGCAAACCAGCGCTCTGTGTCTCGAAACAGCTGAAACAGCGGATCTGGCTGCGTCACGCGGATATGTCCACGCACAGCCGGTTGCTGCGGCACACATTATCCTAGATCATCAAGATACAATGTTGCACCGCATGACACTTTGGAGCGATTTTTGCGAAGAAGGCTATGTCAATAGCGCCGCGCATTCATGTCTTCTCGCCAACCTTCTTCTGCGTCTGCTATGTCTTAAGCACTTGCATTCTTTTCTTGGACGCATGCATGTTGATATAACACCGCTTAACAGGTACGTTTCATGATGTCAGGATGATGATTCCAATGATAAACCATCAGGGAGTTTCATGGTAGTTTCAGAGGATTGCCATGAAACAGCTTTACACAAAGGTTTATAGGTAGTTTATGGTAGTGAACTAAGGACCTTATTTATATTTACTTCGGGTTTTGCCTACAACTACGCTACAGGTTAACAGCTGCAGCTCGGCCCGCTGCACAAAGGCCAAAGAACGCCCATGCCTCAGACGACGCACACGATGAATACCAAGCGCGCCAAAGTCCTCTGGTAAGTGGAAATTATTCTGCTGGGACTTCAATGTGATGATGAACCTCGCCAGGAAAGGTCTGCTGGCGCACGCGGAGGTGGTCAAGGAGAAGAGCGATACAACTGAAGTTTTGCTAGTAAACGACGCGAAGCTCTCGGCACTATCGCGCAGGGTGTGGAGCTACAACACCAGACAAAGATCCGCTCATCTACTCGTGCAATTAAAACGTGGGTAACGCTTAGGGAGTTCTAAATTTGGACTACACTACGAAATCGGGTCACGATAACACGGCGAGTTCACGAGCTCAGGGTGGATGCTGGGACGGCCATATCAAAGAATTTGGACGCCTTCAACGAGCTCTTGGAGAGCCTGCCGACGAGGCACGGCAGCTGGTAGTGCTACTGAGCAGCCTTCCAGACGAATAAAAGCTGAAATCATCTATCATCGAGAACGTCAAGGACATCACGCTCATCGAGGTAAAAAAAAGCTGAAGAAGTTATCTGAACGATTGTAGAGAATGGATACGAATTCAGAACGAGCGTTTAAGGTCAACAATGGACGATTTAAGTGCAATAAGAGGAACGGTCGCAAGCGGAGCAGTCGGAAGAAGGGTTTCAGTGTTTTCCGAGGCAAGTGTTCTAAGCTCAACAAAGTTGGGCACATGAAGCAGGACTACCAAGAACGGACAACAGATGGCGATGACTATGTGGTATTTGCTGTCAACACACAGAACGTGCAAACGGATGGTTGATCGACAGCGGAGCGACCGCCCACATTATTCCGCACCGTTCTTATCTGTTCGAATATCAGAACAAGAACGTTGCCATCAAAGTAACAATCGATGACGGAAAGAAGGTTCATGTCACTGGCCGTGTTACGGTTGGCTTCATTGGACTAAAAAAGGGATTAAACTGGTTGAAGTTCTTCACATCGTAGGTCTCGATCGGCGCCTATTGTCAGTGGGAAATGTCGCGGATCGTGGCCTGAACGTGGAGTTTCTGCGTTCTTCACGTGTAATATGGGGCACGGCTAGCGCAAATGCAAAGGGCATGAAGGTGGGCACGGCGTACATGTTATACTGTGAACAAGAAGAAGCTCAAATCGTTCAGTATTCTGAGGATGGCAGCAATTGGGAGCTTTCGCACGCTCGCATGGGGCATCCCAACCAAGACGCCTTGACTAAGACTCGTCATGCCACGAACATCTTTCCGGCAATTGATCAACCGACCTAGTCTTTATGTGGTGGATGCATGAAAGGGAAGCAGACAGTGGCTACGTTTCCGCATTGTTCAACTCGAAAAAGTCGCGCGTTTTTTAGCTCCTGTACACGGATGTGATGGGACCCGCGATTAAACCATCCAAAGGCGGTGCAAAGTATGTCCTGACGTTCGTGGACGACTACTCGCGCTACTTTGTGGCATACTTTTTGAAAAAGGAGAGCGAGGCGGCCATCAAGCTAAGAGAGTTATAGACGTTCTATGAGAAACAATGGGGAGGACGCATCAGGTGTTTACGATTGGATAACGGAACGAAGCTTGTGTACCAAAAGGTGACGAAGATATGAATGCTGAATGGTATCGTGCATCAATCGAATGTTTCGTACATCCCTCAGCAGAATGAAGTTGCAGAACGGATAAATCGTACCATCCTGGAAAAATCTCGAAGCATGCTTCACTTTAAGGGCGTATCAATGGAGTGGTGGGATGAAGCCGTGAATAATGCGGTATATCTGATCAACCGTTCCACGAACACTTAAAATACAAACATGACACCGTTTGAGCTGGGTCTAAAAGTAAAGCCTACGTTAGACCACCTACGCGTATGTCGTTCTCGCGGCTACGCTCATATCGACAAGGCAAAGAGTACGAAGCTTAACCCTAGAAATTTAGGTGTCTTCTGCTTACCCAGAAAACGTCAGGGGTTACTGTGTCTCTGACTTGGCCACCTCCAAGATCAAAGTGTTTCGTTTAGTAAAGCTGGACTAGCGTGAGGTAGGTCGTATTTACGAAACACTAACGACTCATACTAGAAGAGTCATTCATGTTACCACAGCCGCCGATGAAGCATTCACGCTCGCACCATTATAACCACCAACCCATAAAAAGCGAAACCAATGGAAAGCGTTGAGAACGACACACCAGACATAGATATGGAGATCAAAGAACGGAACAGAACACTATACCTCCACAACTGATGCCACAAGAACGGTCGGCTCCGACTGGATTTGAGCTGGAATTTTACCGTGGACCACCTACACAACTTCGAGGAGGATCAAGTGGTGTTATGTACCCCGGTAAACCGTTCCAGAAGTTCCCGCGAATCCGTTTTCCTTCTTAAAGACGGGACAGACGCCGAGGAAGAACGGAAGCGGAAAGAAGTGATGGACCGTCCTCTCCAAAGCGTGCCAGAACAGACGAAGATGGTCTTATTGATGAAGCCGTTCTTGCGTATGCAGCAAGCATTGACACAGTGGATATTTTACTGCGTACGCTTAGTCAATCGCCAGTGAAGATGCTACGCAGTGGCGTGAAGCCATGGATGCTGAACTTCGCTCACATAATAGGAACGATACCTCAGCATTATTCATAAGAGAAACAGCCATCCGTACCATTGGGTGTAGGTGGGTTTTCGCAAAGAAGCGTGACCAGAACGGTCGCTTGGTGCGCTTCGAAGCGCGACTAATGGCGAAAGGTATTAAGCAGAAGTACGGAGTGGACTTCTTTGAAACGTACTTTTCAGTGGCGAACATGAACTCGATTCGAGTTGTGATCTCCCTCTTCGCTGCTACGCGTACAAGATGGAACAGTTAGACGCTGATACAGCGTTTACCAAAAGTGAAACGGAGGACCGTGTCTACATGGAGGTACCTCTAGGTGTTAAGAACTTCAGGACAATGTGTGCCAGCTGAACAAAGCCATTTATGAATTGAAGCACGCTGCAAGTGCTTGGAACAAGAACATTCATCGCGTATTTCTTGACTACGATTTTAAAAGCTATGGTGCGGACCACTGAGTCTATGTCAAGTGCTCCAAAAACAGTATTTTGTACGTCTGCTTAAAGTCGATGATATATTCATAGCGGCGAAGACTAAAAACGAAAATCGTAAAGGGGTTGCACGTAGTTGGTTACCTGGTACCTTGTGTCTTAGACACACGGATGATATCACACTGAACGAGATATAGAATATCTTATCGGTTTATAGGGGCTGATTGGTGTCAGCCACCAGATAGGAGAGATCTTAGCTGTACTAACTTAGGACATGGTGTCTGGATCAGGTATTATGAAGATCAAGATATTCTTTAGTTTGAATGCAAATAAAGTTCAGTTCTCCTTTTGATCTTAAAGACATGTGCCTAGCGAGGCGTTTGGTCGTTGGTCGCTGTTCACTAAGAGATAAACGCTTTCATGAGTTAGCTAAGTACACTTGAGCACTACTTGCTGTCAATTCACTGAACCGCTTGGACTCCTGAAACAAGGACCATAAGCTTTAGGTTTGTTGACTCATTGAGTCTAGTTCTTTAAAAGCTAAGTTGATGTTGAGCGAAAAGTCTTCCTCTGACTCATGGAGTTGTATATCTACTCTACACTTGGTGGCACTCGTAGTCAATATACGCCTGATTCCATAAGACTGATCCTCTGTGGGGATATGAAATGCCACTTCCCTCTCTGAGGCTAAAACGGTCGCCATTGATAAGCTAACCGCATCTTTAAGTCCATATTACGTGAAGTTCCTTGTTTTACAAGGCCCTGAAGTGCTAAATGCACGTGTTAAAGGCTTCATGCACTACGGATCGACCCTTTTAGGGCAGGTCCAAGAACAAGTAGCGTCGGCTATGCCTACACGCTATGTGTCTGTACCAGACGAAGAGGAGGCCTCGTCCACTTATAGTGGAGGTTAATAACTTCTTCGGCAAGGAGGGTGAAAACTTCATCCTCTGGATCCTTGAGATTGATATGACCATGATATCAAGCCAGATCAAGCTTAACCATCAACATTCTATGCTAACTATTCCAAAGATCGATGGAAGAGCTAGAGAATGAGCCTTGACGTGTAGCACGTCGGCTGAATTAGCATTCCCATATGGGAGTCGCTTAAGTCACAATTAATGCAGGTGTTCTCACCACCTAACCAAGCTTACCGCGTGCGTTCACGCTTTTTATCTACCCGTCAGGGTAAGAATGAGTTATCGGAATGTGTCTAAGAGGTGAGAACTCTCATGGCTGCATTGCAATCTGACCCTCTGCCTGAGGCAGTTCATGTGACTATTTTCATGGAAGGTCTTCGTACTGGCATTGCCAGAACCAAAGTTTTCCGGGTTCACCCCTCTACGTTTGAAAAGGCCGTGAAAATTTCTCTTTATGCTGAGCAAAACTTCAAGTCAGCTAGGCTTGGCTGGAATGGGTACAACCCTAGCTCTGCAAGAGCAAACTTTACAGGTGGTCCGGTCTTTAATAGGCCAGAACCAATGGATCTCAGCTATGCCGAAGATGAAGGTAAAGTTAAACTTCAAGCTGCTAAGCAGCACGCGTCGAACGACGATGCTTTACGTGCGGAAGCACTAAACACTTGCGGTCTGGTTGATCTTTGCGAAAACAGCGTCAGGGTACAAGCCAACACTCCACGCCGAGCCAGAAGTCTGGCATGACACTGGAAATGCCGACGCCTAGTAGTCGCTGGGCGCCCTGCAGGGAAGAACTAGGTTCTGTTACACGTTTAGGCGGTAAACTTAAACAGGGCATAGCCCCAAAGAGCTCCGTAACTATTGGTATAGAGCGTAAATACAAGTTTAGCGTTTTAGTCGCCGAGGCGAAAATAAAGGGCTTTGAGAGGCCTTGGTCGATATTGATCGACTCTGGAGCGTCTTGCAAATATTCTCGACTTCGTTCCCTCAAGGGAAGTTAGCGTTATGCTGAGGCGCTTACAACGCGTGAGGGTGATTCTATCACGGTTCGTTTAGCGACTGGAAGTCGTGTTACTGTGCGTTAAGTTCAATTGAACTTAGGTATACAGTTTTTAGACCTTGACAGCATAAGCGCTGTCTGGTCTTTAATTTGGACTCGAGACATGATCTCATCCATAATACGGCTTGGCTTGAACGCCATGAGCCATGGATTGATTAGAGGTCAAAGACCTTAGGCGTCACGCGCAACTTTCATAGCATATTTTTGGAGAGCAATGAACCCACCTTCGCTGGGCAACAGAAACACTACTGGCGCGAGCCTTTGACAGAAGAAGTTAATGTGCTGAACATTGGAATGTCTGAGTTGCCTAACATCAATGTTGGAAACATAGATTCCAAGCGTAGCTCGTCAAGTATCGGTGATACGGCACCTCTCCGTTAAGCGTTACTCGTTGTGATAACGAGTCACTGCATGATGAAGGCATAGTTGGACTAGGGCCGGATTATCAAGGATGCGATTCCTTTGATGTGTGAGGTGGCACGTGAAAATTTACCAATTGTGGTCGGCCGTGAAGGCACCACCCTCAATGTCGGTAATGACAGTGTTGGCGATAATCCGTTCAGTTCAGACCTAGGTCCGCATAATGCACGTGAAGTGGCACGTGGAAATCCACTGGGTAATGAGCTCGAGTTATGTGACACTTCACCGATATCGGTCAAGAAGTCGGCTCTAGCTCAGAGCGCACTACTATTAGTGGTAATAAAGGGGACAGTATTGTCCCGACCCCTAAAGGGTGTAAGGTCTTCAAGTGACGACTTGGACGCCAGGTGGCAACTGTAAAGAACGCGCCAGGCGTCCACACAGTCACTGAGTGATTATAGTAATACGCTATACACTCTTGTGAATGAAGTGTCTGTTCAGGTCGATGGCACTGTTAGCCTTGAAACCCTTCCATCTTTGGATGCTCTGTGTGAGCTAGATTAAATTTCTGATACCGAGTTTATTCAGGCCTTACATGCGGAAGATTTATCCGAATTAGCGATCATTAGAACCGATGTTGATTTAAGCTTGTCTTCATTAATGGATGAGTCTGTCCTAGAAGGCACAAAAGCAGCACTTAGTGCGCAAAGAGGATCTTCGATCCTTAAAGATCCTTTGGATTCATTTTATCCTTTGATTAAGGAATTTTAAGATGCGATGTGTCACAATCCACCATCTATCTTACTACCTTATAGGTGTATTACATCATCAATTGACTTAGTTCCAGGAACTAAATAATTCGAAACCCGGCAGTGGCATTTGCCTAGAGAACAGTGTGACGTCATTGGCGATTTATTTCGTGCTAAAAACGCGGCTGGAATGATTCGTGAGAGTATATCTCCCCATTCAACACCAATATTTTGTGTCAAGAAGCCAATGGCATGTGGCGCATTGTGCATGCTTGTAATAAGCTTAATGCATCAACTATTCCGGCCCATACGCCTATTCCTAGAAAAGGTGTTCTTTAGAACAAAATGGTAGGATGTACATAGTACAGTGCTTTCGACTTAGTCGATAGTTTTTACTAGCTGCTCATGCGAGAGAGTGATTTTCCGCTAACAGCGGTGACTGCTCCTATTGGTATGCTTTGGGAGTGGCTCGTTATGCCACAAGGGCTGTCTAACGCCCCGACTACATTTAACCGTCTGTTAACGCAACTGCTCAGACCTCATCGAGGCTACGCACAAACGCACTTTGACGACATCTATGTACAAAGTCGTGCAACGAATGGTCGATCAGATGTGGATAACTGCATTAATCATATACGAGCGGTGCTCGAGTGCATGCGCACGAATAAATTGTACGCTAATGCATCTAGGTGCATATTTGGTGCAGAAGAGATTCCCTTTATAGGGTGCTTCGATGGGAAGCAAGGCCTTCGAGCGGACCCCGCTAATTGAAGGGCCATAGTCAATTGGCCGGTTCCTAAGAACCAAAATGACTAGGAAGGTGGCTTGGCCTTGCCAATTACTTGCATAAGTATAGTGCGAATTTCGCAGACATGGCTAGGCCGATATCTAATCTCCATAAAAAGGATGTGGGCTGGTGTTGGGGTAATACCGAGCACGATGCTTATAAAGCGGATAAGGAGAGTCTCCTTCATGCGTCAATATTGGCCTTGCCCAATCCTGATCGGCCCTTCAGTGTCGTCTGTGATGCATATGACTGTGTCATTGGCAGTGCTCTGTTACAAAAAGATGTTGATGGACGCGAGTGCGTCTTGCGTTCAAGTATCGACAGCTTAAAGCTGCTGAAAAGAACTTATTAGTTCACAACAAAGAACAAATTGCTGTGAAGTGTGCTCTGGTCAAATTCAGAGTACATCTGCTTGGCTCAAAGTTATTTGTGATCTATACAGATCATGCGTCATTGTGCACTGCGACACAGTTGCCGCATCTCTCTCAGAGAATGGCTCATTGCCTTTCATTCCTTACAGAATTTAACTTCGAGGTGAAATACAAGCCTGGAAAAAAAGCTTCATGCCTTGGCTGGTGCGCTATTGCGCCAAACTGACAATGAGCTTGCTCATGTTATGACACTGTCGTCATCAGCCCCTGACTTAATCCGTGCGGCTTATGCCAAGGATTTTAAAAATGTAGCTTTGCAACGGGCTCTTGGGAGCTACGAGTTTAACGAATCGGACGTAGAATTGTCGGCACGTTTACGTGCGAGGCTACATCGATAATCCATCGACAATGGCCGGTTGTGCTATCATACGGATATTGAGGATACCCTCGTATAGCTGTTCCTCATGATTAGGGATTGAAGTATCGAATCCTCTACAAGGCACACGATACTGCTTTAAGTGGTCATCTTGGTCGTATAAAGACCTATGGATCGGTGAGCCAGACTTATTGGTGGCACAATTAAAGACTGGGTGAGCACCTATGTGCGTACGTGCGAAACGTGTCAACTGGTCAAATTCTTAGCACAAGCGGCTGCGCCGCTGGCTAATCTGCATGTACCCACTGGGTATTAGGAGTCCATGAGTATGGATTTTGTGTTCGGCCTACTGAAAGATTCGGAAGGCAACACTGGTATTGTGGTATTTGTTGACCGTTTTAGCAATATTGATCATTTAGTGGCTGTGCCGGATACAATCGATGCTGAAGGCACGGCAAAGTTGTTTATCGATCGTGTGTTTCGACAACATGGTTTGCCTTTGGTAATCGTCTCTGCTGAGATTCCCGCTTCACTGGGAAGGTTTGAAGGTCTATCTTCAAGGTGCTCGGCACCCGATTGGATATGTCCACGGCGGATCATCCGCAGACCGATGGCCAAACTGAGCGTGTTAATCGCGTCATTAATGACATGTTGCGCAGTTTTTGCGCTGATAAGCCACGGCGTTGGACTCAATGCTCCCGCTTGTTGAATTTGCGTTGAACAACGCTGTCCATGCCTCCACAGGCTTCACTCCATTCTACGTGAACGGTCTCGCCCACCCACGCGTTACGTCAACGCTTCCACTCTGTGGTTTAGGGCTTGGTAGGGGAAAGGTTGCCGATAGGCTTGCTGATAGTAGCCCTGCTACTCTTCAAAAACAGATAGGCAAGATTCTCGCAACGCGATTGAATGTCTTACGACATGTGCGTGACGCAATGGCTGGTAGCCAAGATCAACAAAAACATTAAGCTGATGCCCAGGCAGATTTTTTTTGAATGTTATGTGGTCAGATACCAAGTATTACTTAATGTCAAAAACCTACGTACAAATTTAGTGTCTGCTGCTTTTAATAAAAGTTTCGGTCACGCTTCATCGGAACGTTTACGGTCTCTGCCATGAAGGGTATTGCGTATACGCTCAACCTTCCACGCAAATTTCGCACAGACCCTTTGTTCTACGTAGGCTTACTTAAGTAGTACCGGGATCCTTCCCATGTGAACTTTGAGGCGCTGGTGCCGACGACGAGGGAGATGCCCCGGATTGCTGCAAGCGAATCATCAAGTCCAACTGAGCCTTGCTCTGAGTCCTAGCACGCTCCATCGCCTGAAGGGAGCTCTGTATCGCATCAAGCATGCCTTGGGTCTTACCTAAGGTCTCTTGAAGACCCTTTACGTCGAGAACCAATTTCTCGTGGACTGCCACCGGCACACCGGCCACCACCGACGCTTCTCGATGAGCTTTGGTGTCGTCAGTTTCATGTCGAGAGACTACTGAATCGTCGTCGTCGTCATGGCCAATACCAGTATCTGGTAAAGTAGCGTGGGTACACTGAGTCTGAGAACTCATGGGAACACGAGGTACCCCTACGTCAAGATTGCCCTTACACGTTAAATGTTTTTGAACATCGTGGCCAAGGTCATCTTGAGAAAGAGGCCGTTTCACACCACTAGCGGTGTGGGTTGGCGGGTTGGTGGTCGTGTTTTGACCAACACTCGCGGCTACCGTAGTAGCCAAAGCATATTACGTGGGATTACGCTAATGGCCTCTGGCCTTAAGCTTGGCATAGTCATACCTGAGCTTGCGTTCTAGACGCACATCAGCCACATTGGCACTAGCTCTTAGAGCAGGCATACTGCTGAGGCGACGTGTGCGGTGCACCCAGCGGACGAAGGCCTTGTCTTCTTCGCTCACTGCTTCGCCTTCCAACAAGAGAATGGGTATACTCTTCATCGATAGGACCGGTGCAGCACGTGCTTGCCTGTCAAGGCGTGTCTTGTATTGACCTAGGGTCGCTGGTTGAGGCTCCATGTATCTCTCGCGAAGTGCCTGGCCGCTCTCCACGTCCTCAGAAGATTTAGGCCTATGGCCGATAATCCACGCTGCCAACGTTTGGCCGGCCGCTTGAAGTAAACGTTCCTCCACACTGGGTGACTTGAATACATAGTCACGTCAATGCTCGAGGGTTGCAACCAATTGCGCATGGAGAGGAGTGCTTTCTCCTTGTTGAAAAAGTAGCAACCTCTGCTCATCGAGCGGATTCGTGATGATGGTATCATCCGAACCGAGTGTCGAGCGTGGCGCCAATAGCGAATTCTCATTATCGCGTTCAGGGAAAGGACAGGGGGTAGTACGAGGTTGTACCTCGGACATGGGTGTATCGGAAATTGTCCCTGCTCACCCGGGACACTGGTATCGCTACCATACTCCGATACATCCCCCATTTCGAGGTAATCACTGAGAGTTTTTGACTCGTTAGGTGATGAGGACATCGTACTCCGCTTTGCGTTACCGTGAGATGATCCGCAAGCACACTGCCCATGTGGAAGAACAAAGGTCGGTGGAGACGTTCGATTGAAAAAGATTCCATTGACGTTTCGGGAAACGTCAGTCTGGTGGAGGGGTGCTAAGGTGTTACACATAGTTGGGTACCTGGTACCCTGTGTCTTAGAAACACGGATGATATCCCGCTGAAAGAGATATAGAATATCTTATCGGTTTATAGGGGCTGATTGGTGTCAGCCACCAGATAGGAGAGATCTTAGCTGTACTAACTTAGGACATGGTGTCTGGATCAGGTATTATGATGATCAAGATATTCTTTAGTTTGAATGCAAATAAAGTTCAGTTCTCCTTTTGATCTTAAAGACATGTGCCTAGCGAGGCGTTTGGTCGTTGATCGCTGATCACTAAGAGTTAGCAACGCCTTCTTGAGGTAGCTAAGTACTCTTGAGCACCACTTGCTGTCGATTCACTGAATCGCTTGGACTCCTGAAACAAGGACCATAAGCTTTAGGTTTGCTGACTCATTGAGTCTAGTTCTTTAAAAGCTAAGTTGCTCGTTAAGCGATAATACTTCCTCTGACTCATGGAGCTTCATATCTTATATACAGCTCTTGTCTGTCGAAGCGCGGTCTGTCTCACAAATACGGATGCACGTGTACTTGACCGGCCATTTTCTACAGGTCAAAGAGGGCGATCTTGAGATGGTTCGTGGTCTCGTCTGTCGTTGGAAGGGACCTTAAACATTCAGCACAGGACGGGTCAGAAGGGATCATTGGTCGGTAGTGCGCCAAATGGCCCACCACTTGTCGACGTGGCTCGATTGACAATATTTCCAACCGGTACCAAGTCATGGTCGACGTTGCCACGGTTTCATGTCTACACTTTGCCTAGATTTTCTGTTGTCGAATTGCTTCGATCCGGAGCGTGGATCGCGAGAGTGTGTCGAGCGCTTGTGGGTATAAACGAGCATGAGGCAGGAGGATATTTGCTGTGCTGGTGACATGACTACCGCACATGTATTGATTGTTGCTAACATCTTTCGTTAGACCGAGTGATGTGTGCGTCTGTTGTTGTTCCTAGGACGCACACATTGAGCCTTCCATGCTACGGACATCTTGCTAAGAGCTGCTTGGCTGGTGTTTGACCCATCCACGCTTACCGGGTCGTACATCGTTGGAATGTAAAATAAAGCTAGCTCGAGATTGTAACGGAGCACCCTCAAGCTTGTGCTGATGACAGTACAAGCTACATATTTTGACGACAGAATAAGGCGGTGCCTCGTAACTTCACGTACACTGGTACGTGCAGAGGAAGACGGTAGGAAGAAGCGAGTACTTGGTTAAAGTAAAAAGTGGAACTGCATTTATCATAGTTAATGTCTGTTAATAAACCACTGTTTATCCTCATCTAACTACGTCTAAATACAAATGCGTACGTCAACTACTCATTGCGTGCGTCTGTCTTGGCGCGTCTTCGTTGGTTGATATAATGGCCTAAATCAACCAAGAAGGAACTACTCGTAAGTGCTGCAGAATACTTGTCTTTATGATAATATTCTGAGAATATAACTCTGATAGTAATATTCTATCAACAATTTCCTATAAATTGTCATGTAACGGTACACCCCGTTACATCACCCCCCCCCGTTAATCATCAGTCACTTTAGTGACTGATTGACTAAATGGATACGCGTCCCAAATCATTTAGGACGGGGTTTGCACTTGTTGGTCCGAGTCCACTTTCCAACATCTCATCGCATGGTTAACAAGCCCATGCGTTGCGCGAGCAAGGCCGCCGAGAGCGCATCCGCACGTCTTTGTGCGGACGCCGAAGCAGAAACCACAGCAACTGATGTCTCATCGGTTGCTGAAGCGACTCAGCCTGTGTCACTTGGTGATGCAGGCGCTGGTCATGAAGACACTCAGGTCTTCACAGAGTATGAGCTCGGTGTCTCGTACTCTCCTGATACGGAAGACGGATCCGTATCGACGGCGATCGAATCCAAACCGCCTGCCAAGCGTGGCATGGATGATGCTACGCGTCGTAGCATCTTTGGTTCATCTGATTCATCAGATGAACCATCGCCGAAGCGAAGGCGCTCGAGGTCCCAAGACTCGGGCGCTAACAGTGGTGTCGGTTCTCCTATGGACACCACTTCGCAACGAGGTGCCAGTACTTCTGTCGGCACGTCGCAAGAAGAGCGGGACCGCAGTGTGTTGCGTCTCGCTCCCGAGAAGAAGGCATGGATGCCTCCAAAATCCGTCATGGATCACTTATCGGCGACGACGAGTGATCGCTATCGAACACGATTGTTCGATTCGTCAAGGACCCATCACCTTGAACCCAGTGCGAAAAACTATCGCGCTGAGAATGAGCTCTTCATCGATGCTTTCTTTAAGCATCGATGGTACAGTGAGAATCACAAACGTGATGGCCCCCTACTGCTTCAAGTGTGGAACGCCTACATCCATAACCTTGAGGATGTAGGTCGTGATGTTTGGAACGACAAAGTTATCAAAGCTCGTGATAAGTTTGAGAAGAGAACCCCGACAGGTACACGCTATAATCTGCATCGTCTGTCTAAGAAGGGTGGGTTACCCTGTCCTTCCTGGGGAGACTCGTGCCTATGTTGTGTGAACAACTCTGCACGAGCACCTAAGGAGGCTTGCCTCCTTACTAGCCCGTGGTGGCGCGTACGTTTCTCTAGCGAGATGTACGAAGGGATTGACGACCTGAAATCCCTTTACGACCGTGCCGGGAAGACTTTCTCCGGCGGTCCTTCTGCGGCGCAGGATGTGCCGCGTCATTTTGCTCAACCAAACCCAGTACGTCAACTATCAGTTGGGAGCGGGGCTCCCAAGTATCCCAGGACGGGGGATAGCCGCGCCACTGGACGAGATGACTCGTCCGACGTCCGTTCCCATCGCGGTGATTCAACAGCCGCTCAACCAGATAGCGCTGGCCACCGCGAGAGCCTCCAATGGAGGTGGAGGAGGAGGAAAACGCTCTACAAACTATCGTGGGGAAGCATGTAACCCCGAGGGCCTCTTTGATTGCCGTAATTCTTGCGTTACGCGGCGACCTCGAGCATGAGCGGTAAAGGCGTCTGCAACTGGTTGACACTGTCTTGAGGCATCGAGCTGAGTTTGCCTTTGCTCAGCTTAAGAACGAGAGAGCTCTGACATCTCTTCGTGACGCGCTAAGGGTAGCTCGTGTAGATATATGGGTCTCGGGCTGAGATAACTGCTCTTTAGAACCTTGTCGATATCCACCATCGGGAGCACAAGGCCCTCTGTGAAATGCTTGAGCGCAAGGGCGTTCTTCATCGGAAGAAGCAGCGTACTGATGGTACGGCTTAAGCCGACCAACGTAAGACGTGGGATGCGTTCGCATCGTACGTGGCAGTTCGATCGTGTATGCGTTGCCTAGGCGATGCAATACATGAAATGGTCCGATGTACTTGGGTAGTAGTTTACTACTACCCAAGTTAGTCACTACATGCTTTGGTAGATTAACCGTAGACAGTAGGACTAAGTCACTTTTATTAAATAAAAGAGTGTTTGCCCTTCCATTCTTGTCTGCGTTTTGCTTTTGCTTATCCACCGCTTTGGCGATGGAGTCTTGCACAAAACGGACTACCGTTTCACGAGCCAGTATGAACTCATATGCTGACTCGTTAGCTTCAGTACGCTGTGAGTGCACTGCAGAGACATCAATCGTTTCTTCAGTGAGGTCTTTCTCGCTCTCACTGGCATCATCTTCTTCGATATCGATGTTATCGATATCGGCATCAAACGCAATGACTTCTTCGTCAGAGCGTGATGAGCGTGAACCAAATCGGTTTTTGCTCGCGCGAGTCTCTCCCCCCTTAAACCAGAGTTACACCCGAGTAAGGTGGGTACACGCGGATGGCGTAAGCCATTCACGTAAAACGGTGTATGTGTCGTGGGCGCATGCACCGAGTTGTTAATGGCAAACTCTACCATTGGCAAAAACTCACTCCAACTCTTAAAGGAGTGTACATATCCTCGAAGTATCTCTTCAAGGACACGATTGGCACGTTC